AAAAATATTTATGTGGTTGTTAGTGATGTGAGATGTGCATGCAAATAGTTTTAGGTGATTTAAATTAAAACCACAAATGAAAATTCTACTCTTATATTCACCATTGATTAATTAAATGAACGCAAGAATGCTCAAAAACGCCAGTTTATTGCACGTTTATTTGAACACTGAAAAAAATGATGGTTATGTTCTCTGAAAAGTGACTTACACCAAGTCACGAAACGTTGGAAATGTAATTTCCTACTTATTGAGATTTTATGAATGTACTATTTCTGTTATAAGTAATTATCCAATCAAAATGTGAAACAATCCTACATTTCTCTAGATTTGTTTGGAGGGTGTCTATGCAGTGCTGATTGAATAAATCGTTTTTAGAAACTTTGCCGATGGATATTTGTTGAGAATACTAACAACTAGCCAAATGAGATGAGAAATCGCTTTTCAGAAAAATCACTTACTGTATTTATCACAGTGCGTGTCAACACTAACTGAAATTTATTTTATTTTGAAGGCAGTCCTTATAATTCTGTGTTATATTGGGATCATCAGTATACCGGATTTATGCCAGGTGTGGTAATAAAAGGATTATTTTTCACCTTTCACTTGATGACGACGTTTTGTACCCCTAACTTCGTTTGTTAACGGTCCTAATTTGAAGCCATTTTAAAATTTTACCAGCTAAAATGGTCAAAGTTCATGTCTATTTCATCCTTCAGTAGTTAACTACAGAGATGAAGCTACGAATTTTCAATAACTTATGTAGTCATTGAGTTTAATTTGCTAACTACTTTCCTGTATAAGTGATTTTTTGACTGATGGTTAAGAATTTTTAAATACTTAGAAGCGAATTTTCTGATATATTATAGAATTTAAACATTCATGTTGAATTATGATCTACTTTCTATCAAAAAGTAAGCTATAGTTCCTTGCATTATTTGGCTTATCTGAAATCATTAATAAACAGAATCTATCTAAAATTACTTGAATCATTTACTTCATTAACATAAACATGTATTTATTTATTTTACAACAGGAAGGTTCACTCAAAATTGTGGACCGTGTAAAGAGTATATTCAAATTAGCGCAAGGTGAATATATTGCACCTGAAAAAATAGAAATGGCTTATCAAACTTGCAAATTAATAAGTCAAATATTTGTGGATGGTAACAGTCAAAAAAATTACCCAGTTGCGATAGTAGTTCCAGATTTTACTGAATTGCGTTCCGCTTTAAGCAATAGTAAGGTACTGCAGCATCATAAAAAGCTTTTGGATTCTGAACTTTGTCGAAATGAAACTGTTAATAAATTCGTTTTGGAGAAAATGAATACTATAGCGACACTAAAACTGTTGAAGGGTTTTGAAAAGGTTTGTAACGAATGATTTAAAAATTGTAATCGTAATTTAAATACTCAATCCTGTTCTTATTTATGTATGTTTCGTACCAGTCGACAAACAAACAAACAAATTAGTATTTATGATATATAACTGACCTCGGGTTAAATCACAAATAAGCAGATTAGTCAATGAGATTGTGAATTTTCATTAGTCGAAGTAACTCACTCATGTGAATTTCCCCCGCATCAAAATGGGTAATAAATAAACGGAGTTGACACAATGTTGATTTGTAGAATTAACAATCAACGGAACTAACTGTACTTGAAATTATGAACTTCCTTCTTTGGTCATATAAATGTTAGAAAGTCATAACTGTCAATACTCCTCAACCATAGTTTTAATGATGTTTTTGTCACTTTGAATTTTTGTATTATAATACATTTAAACTTGAGGAAATATATGCTATCCGGTGCTCGTTAACGTTATACAATTTATTAATGACTTTATATTGGGTTCTTATATGGTTTCGCTAATTAATTGAAGTTAGAAATGTAAACCTATAGATGCCAACTCAACAATTACTGTAAGTTATGAGTTCGATCTCCAGTGTGGTTGTGAATACCCACCTTTAAACGGTCTCATACTAGCTAGAAATTAGTTGTCCAATGCTGTATGTTTTTCATCGGTTATTTAACCAAGATCAGCTCATAATGTAAACTACAAAATTCAACAATTTACACAAACTTCCTTTTATTCTTTAACCAAACAGATTTTTCAGTTGATTCTTTCCTATTGTTTTATACAAAAGAAAATACTATTTTCGTTCTTTTGTTACATTCATATTTCAGTGTGTTTTTTGTTCTATAATCAGGCGACACCATAGTTTAAATTTACTTCCTAGTTTAGTTTACTTGATCAAAGCAAAATTTTTAGGGTCAATGGTGATATTGTTTTCCGTACACTAATTAAACTCCCACGTAATCTAACCATTTTCTTGTTAGTCAAACAAAAAAAAACAAGCTTAGCACACATGATTGCAAATGGAAGACATTTCTACGTATAAAAAGAAAGTTTATCAGTCTATTTTCATTACAGATGAAGTTTTAAAACCAATTACTGAACAGAATATTGTCAATTATTCCTGATTATTTTAACAACAAACAGTTTATTATTAGTAATTAAACGCGTAGACTGTTAATGTTTACTTATATTTAGTACTTCAAAGTCATGCTTTGTTTAAGTTTCTCGTACCATTATGTGACAACCATTTAGCATAAAGATATGTAATGATACTAATTAGAAACAACCATATTATTAAATAAGAATTGTTTATATTTATTTTTAGTTTTTAATGTAATTAATTATCTTTCATTAGTGAACTATAAATAACCTTAGCCGTTAGTTTATTTCACATTGTTTTGTTGTACAAAATGTTTACTTTTTTGTTACTTTCATGATTACATTTTCATAATTTAGAATGTGGTGATTTCGTCATTGAGAAGTACTTTAGTTTTACTTATCTAAACATTAGTGTAAAGTTTTAAAGGTTAATGGCATGATGTGCATAAAACTAATATTCTTTATGCTTACTAAATAATTTTTGTTTAGTCAATAGGTTCAGATATACTCTTTGTATATATTTCAATCATCCCACTGGTTTTAAAGTGGTGTTTTCCACTTCAAAATGAACATTTTAAACTAAATTGCCAATAATACGAAGTGATGAAGTTTATGAAGGATGTATAAATCATAATGTATCGATTTTACAGTACCACCATCAATGGTGACTGTATACACTCCATAATAAAAATAGATTCAGCGAAAGCAATGCTGTCGTTAAAGTACAAACTGATAACACATGAAGAAATGTGATTTGGTTGCATGAGTTGATTAGTGAGTTAAAAGGAATTATGGTTTAATGAAGTTCCCAAAACATTTCAAGCCATAATCACGTAACCGTAACGTTGATGATCCAGCCTTATCAGAGTGCTGGTACATATTCAGATACCAATTAGACTTTGCGACTCAATCCAAGTTTTTGAATACCGTATCGTTCCACTGTGTTAGGCTAAAACAACACTGTTAGCGATAAGTAAAGCCAATAGTGTTGTCCTGTTTGATTCTTATCAAGTTACAACAATTATGTTTGCTTCTTCAACATCTTTGTTCAGGGTTATTCAGTTGAGACCGTTGCTTCAGAAAGAACACTACTTGTGTTTTTACTTCGGATTTCTCATACTTACTAAGTCTTTAATATATCTGTATGCGTTGAGAAACTCGTAGATTTTGTGCCTAATGCTTAAAGTAACTTTTATGATTGATTCGAAAAAAAGTGGTTCTGGATTTATTCTAAGAAAATAATCTCTTTCGTTAGTGTATCTAAGTCATTCGGTTTTATTATTGAAGTGTTTTTGCCGTTCATAGTCTGTGGCTATTTTGAGTTGAAGTAATCTTTCTGGAAAAAAGCAAAGGCATCATCACGTAAAGCATCTACTGGGGCTACTAATGTGTTTTCTGTCATTTCAAATTGAGATCCAAATCATTTATCAGATAAAAAAATACTTATTTCTACTTTATATTATGCAAACCATGTATTGAAATCTCTTTTCGTATAGTCTGAAGTAATTATGTGTCTGATTTATATTTTCTGAATTTTTGTACTGACAGGTCCAGGCAATTTACTTGACAGACGAGGCGTTTACGGTAGACAATGGCTTATTGACTCCAACAATGAAACTATCACGTAATAAAGCTCGAAATTATTTTTCAAAAACAATAGTTAGTTTATACACACAGCATGAGCTTAACTCTTCTTCAACTTAACATTTGTGATCATTTTCAACTTATAATGTGTACGTGTGAAATGGGTTCGTTTGGAGATAATATTCTCCATAAGTTGCATTCTATGGACTATTCTGATTCCTCCATCTATTCCACAAGAATTTCTTGCCTTATTTAATAAAAAACATTATGTATTTGTTTAAATAATATTGGAAACGTATTTTACAGTGTATCATTTGTGATGTCTACTCATCTTGGCAACGCGCATGAATAAATAAATAATTTCGTATTTATGACTATTGTTTTCGACTTATCTTTATTTTTATGCATTAGGTTTCATGAGGGATTAGTAAATACACGTCGAACTGAAACGATTACTAAAATCCTTGTTAAAATTAGTATCATCTGTCTTAATTAGATAAGACTTTCATTGACTGATCACCCAATCCTAATAGGAATTAATTTACTGAATTTGCGACAAATCATACTTGTAACCAAACCTTTTTTTGTATCCAAGTTGTGTGACTGAACTTAGGCAAGTGTAAGGATAACTAACATGGAACGATCGAAAACACTCCATGAACTAGTCCATGCGGTTGTTTCATTACTGTCAGTCTAACAACGTAGAACTTCGTACATACGTACATCAGTTCAAGTTGCCATACCACCTTAAAACAGAGATGCAGTTGTCGATTCAAATCCCGTAGTGGTAGAGGTAGTATATTCCAAGTCAACAAGTGAATTTCCTGGTAGAAGTTCAACCCTTAGAAATTTATATGAGGGAAGTGTTATCTCTATAAGTACGTCAACGACAAAATTAAACAAGAATGGAGAGAGTGGACTGTGGTACATAGTACACAGTAATAAATGTTTCATTACTCTTACTATGTTGGGTTTCTGGTCAATTATGATAGTACTGCTCTAGTAATAGACCTGATCACAAAATTCTAGATTTCTCATGATATAACTGCCTAATCTATAAAATCTTACGTGGAAGTCACGTCATCGTCTACACCATCTCATTGCATCTTAACAATCGTCAGTACATGATAAACACACTTGGGCTAGAAATAGATCAATGTATTTAATATGGGTAAGAGGTATATAACAACACCCAAGGATAGCCACGCCTACAAGGCCGAGCCATACCATCCGGTCGATTCGAATCCATTCCATTCATTCTTCCCGCCTTCCCCATCGTTGGGTTTTTCTCCGCAGTGGGATAATGAATGTCTAGTTTCCCAGTTGTATAGTGTTCAGCTTTAAGGATTATGTGATTAGGACCCAATGCCTCTACAATTTGTTGATATTGTACATGGTATTGTTTTTGTAAGATTCTATCTCTTCTATGCTGTTACCAAAGAGGCCACAATACCTGAGTATCATGATAGGGTAATTCGAACAAGGTATCAACCAATACGTGTGAGTTGAACATAGGCTAGGAGGTTAGGTCGTTCTCACTCAACTATATGAGACCGACCACGATCAAGGCCGAGGGTTAACTTCAAGATCATCAGCACACAACATGGAGTACCAATCAAAGAAAGTAAATGGGATGTTGAGGGCTTGTGGTCTCTATAATCAGTGAATTAGATGATCAACACTTTCGAGTACCCTGAGGCATATGTGTGTATAAGTGGTGTTCATTTAACAGAGTTCAGTTACTCTTTGTCGTCAATGGGCTTGTTTCACATAAAATAACTGAAAGCAGACAGTGTTACGGGTCGGAAAGTAACGATTGCTGAGTATATATTTATATAGGGCTTCGCTTGAGACTCACCTCATGATCTACGTAACTACATGGAGCAGGGGAATCGGTCTCCAATTGCAAAATTTTGTCTTATTATCCCTTCATACATTGCCATGATCACTCTGTACTTCCCGGCAGAAGTTAGTTTAACCCTGAATACAGACCACTTGTAGAGATTAGTGAGAGGGAGATAAAGTAGATCCGCACATTCCTTCGTTATTCTGAGTTGGCTTCCCCCGATACAGCAGACGTATGTGGTCTGATGTGTAAGGCTCAAACCTCACTATAATTAGATAAAAAAGGAGAAGATTGGACGGGACCCATTGAACAGAGATACTGTAGTGGCATCGGTTCCTAATCGCACGATCTTTAAAGTCAAGCATATAATTACTGGAAATGGTTGCATTCAACATGCGACGATGAGGAACGTGAGAACAATTGGTCTGTAGGGCACGAAGCAGGCTTGCAGTCGTGGTTATCCTTGTGACAGATCCCTATTCACATTAGAATATATTCTATCCCCAACCCAAATGTGTTCGTCAGAAGTGCAAGACATTGTGTTGCTGATTGCCACGACACAATTAGACAGAATGGACATTGGTATGACTTCCAAGTAAGACCTTATAGTAGTCACGTAATGACGAATCTACTATTTTATGATCAGGTCTTTCATAATGATAACAAAGTTAAGTGTATTTATACCGAACTAGACCATAATTCTACAATATAACAGACTAGGAGTAGTCGGATCAGAATTTCTCAGTTGGCAGCCTAGTGGGCGCGTTGCGGGAGCTGCGTAATTTTGAAGAGATTCTATACATGATACTCGGTGTTTTGTGCAGTCTCCTCACAAAGTTGTATGAAAACCTATGACCACTATCAATTGACTCCTCAATCAAAAAGGTCTGAAAAAAAATCATTTTAGAGCTTAACTGTCACCTTGAAGAATTAGGGAGGCTGTCACTTCTATTAGTTTATGGAACACACCAGTCAGATAAGAGACACGAGCATTCTTCACATTGCATTTTGAGTCACCCAGATGATGAATTTTCGTACACTATGAACACGTTAGGAGAAACATTACTGATGATATTTTTCATGGTAACACTGTTAAAATACTTCATAAAAAGTAAGGAGGGGAGGTTTAGTTTTTGAGCGAAACAAATACAGGCTTTATAATATTGAGAGAGGTATTACAATGTAGCAAACCAGAGTTCAATAGTTTGGTTACCTTGGATTTTTTGGGATAGTAAAATTTGATTGCTCCTTCAGAGTTCTCACATCCATGCTCAAGTTTCCAGAAGTGATTGAGTAAACGTTTAAGTCGTGGCGCTTGCTGATGAGTTGCCCAGTATTCAACTACGGATGTCTGGAAAAGCTCGTATCGGGGGTACTTAGTTGTCTGATTAGTTTGGGATTGCCTTCACATATCTCAATCACTTTTGAGGTGTGAGGTTCATCACACTAACACAAAAAGTGGCCTTTACTACATCAGGCGAGTCCAGCGTCACCGAGATTAACTTAAGTAGTGATGTTAGAGTTTACTAGTCTGGAAAGTCTTGAGACTTGGTTTGATTGTGCGTCGGTCACATTAAGTCTATCCAAAACGTATCCCTATTGGTCTACATCATGAGACAGCCGAACATGAAAAGATTTCTTTTAGGAAACCTGTGAACTTCACCGAATATTTTGTAGCCTCTGCATATAGGAGAACGAACTTTATTATTGAATGCTCGTCTGACTATGGCCAGTCTAGTAATATTCTTTTGAATGAACTTGATTTTTCCTAGCCTTCAATGGTGTTGAGTGTTGTCAGATACGTACCCTTTTCCCAGCGTTTCGCAGAACAATAGTACCTAGTATCTTTCAGCATCTTCCTGTTTACTTCAGGGATCATCGTTATATATATGAGAGGAATTTTCATGAAGGACTTTAATTCCAACTATTTAAGGATGTCCAAATACGTTTTCTATCACATTCATACTGCAGCTCATCAAGACTTGACAGATGAAAATGGCGAATTAAAATTAAGGTTAGAGCTTGAAATGTTATCCTCATGTTCAACTTTACAGAAGTCAATCACTTAATAAACATAAGATCTCCGAAAAACCTTGATGATGTCACAGGTATTCAGTGTTTGACAACGCTTCTACCAGTAACACCTTCTAATATATTTCGTTCCCGCCCAGAGAAATCAAAAGACAGAGTCGAGGAGATCGGAAGAGTATATTTGGCGATGACCAATATATCGGAATTCTCTGATCTAATCTGGCTAGCGATTGCGGTTGATGTTGAGCACGGCGTTACCACACGTGATCTGGTGCAGATGCCTGACCGAGCGCCTTCAGCTAGATGAGTCCACTAAAACATATGGTCAGCATCCAATGTCGAAAACTTACAGAGCTATTTATTTTAGGGATTTATTTACCGCTACAGATCACTCCCCCCCTAGTGGGGCAGTGACGACCCTAAGACGTGGCCAGCCAGAAGTTTAAACCCAACGAGTTTGTCGTTGGTAAACACTCTTCTGATAGCTTACTAAATTTAGCAGCGTCTGGTCGTCTTTCCTTACTATATGAGACGGAGGTACAACATAGTAAAGAAAGAAAATGTACAATGAAAATTTCGGATCCTCATAAACGTCATCGTTCTTTTCCAGCCGTCCTGGAAAAGAAAAAAGAAAATGTAAGTGCATGTCGAAATACACTCGTATGTGCGTAAAAACACAATGTCGGCGGAAAAAAAATGGAAAATAAACTCATGAACACGTAATAGCGTTTAAAAAAATTGATTTTTTTTGGTTTTGTTTTTTTTTAGATAGAAATAAAAATATATAAGCATATTAAAATTGTTTTTTTTTTAAAAATAATGTAAAATGTCGAGAAGTACCTTACGTGCAATAGTCGTTTAAATGCTCTGGAAATCTCACCCTTCTTCCAGAACGCGTCGTTTTAAGTTTATTTTCGGATACTGTCGAAGTATCATCGTGTGTGTTGGTTGTCGAATGAGGTATTATAAGTGTCGGAGTCGTGTCGTTCGATTGTACCGAAGGAAAATCCACGTAGATAGGATTTCCTTCTAAAAACGCTGCTTTTAAGCGATCGATGCTGATGCTATCGTTGGTTCCGTTCTTATCGACTATATAGTACTTAGATTCACGTTGAAGAACTTTGAAGGGTCCTTCGTATGCTGATTCGAATGGTCGTCGATGCGAGTCTCGACGAACGAAAACGTGTGTACTATATCGTAAGTCAGGTTGAACGAAAACATCAGTTGATTGTGGTCGAGTGGA